TCGTCAGCGAGGCGGTGTTTTAGGATAAATTGTTTGTGCGGCGCGCTGAGAATTTGAGGCGGAGGCGGCACTCCACCGGGGGCGGCCTGCCTCGCTCCATGTCATCAGGGAAACACTGCGGTCTACCGTTATCGGCCATTTCAAACAGGAAGAGCAGTGGAGCTAGATTAACACTGGCTTTCAAGCAGACACTCTGCACAACAGTGCTCATCTAAAACTCTACAGACTACACATTAGCAGGCAACATCTAAATTTTTCTCTATGTTTCTATTAATGTACAGATAAACATCTACATTACAGATCTCACGAAACTACTATAGCAGCACTATCTATATGCAGTAACAGGCCTATCTACACTCTACAGGCAACATCTAAACACTCTACAGGCAACATCTACACTCTAACCCAGACACAAAACTTTTAAAAAAATTCTCATATACAGACAATATTTTACACTGCGATCTACGCAGACCGGACAAATTCGGCAGTTTGAGCGACCACACTCTAAACGTAACTCTGCTACATGGGGTACCATAAACTGTACATGCAACGTCTAAGATGGAAAATTGGCATCCAACACTCTAACACAGAAACCCTGTGTGTAATATCTAGATGCAAGTTTACACATGCGCAACATTTTACACAGAAACCATGCACAAACTAGACACCACTCAGCTACTAAATTTTACTTCAGAACACGCGCGGTTAAACATGCGACTGCGACGGATTTGCACTTAAATTGACCGTACCTGGCGTTATGTCAAAAGCTTCTGTTCCAGAGTCTTAGTTTTTCGATAAAAAATATTCTAGGAGCCTCTAATTTAGTTGGCGACATGCCAGTGCGCGAAAATGCAGCAGATGAAAAACTAGAAGCGATTCTTGTAATACTTCTGGTAGCCATAAAGAAACATTCATTTTCTGCACATCGCAATGCATGCCATAACTATAGGCGTAACCGCTGCCCGCGGAACTGACGTCGCGTGTACACTCTACACCGCGGCCTCCTGCGCCGCCCGCCCAACCATCCAACGCAGACTTAGCATGACTCTGCATGATTCCTCTCCACCAGCACCCCCGAAGCAGTGCGCTATATTAAAAACACATGACAAACATGTATGCATTATAACCAGTACACGCGCAGCATCGCAAGCTGCAGTGCAACATTAATCTCTGCAACTGGTGAGGAAAGTGCAATTGGTCTACGCCTTACGATATTTAACGAATAAAAGATGCCATATGATCATATCACATGTTAGATTACATGTACCGCTACCTACCCAATTACACAATTAACAATTAAACTAATTAACCAGCGAGCTTCTAAATAGGGCAAATACCTGAACAAGTGCAATCAACGTACCATGTCATCATGCTGCTGATGATCCACTTGCCACGCTTTTTAAAGCTTAGTCTAAATTTATTTTTATAATTAAAGACCAAAAATGGATCATCGAATTGCTCCGCTCCTTTCCAACGTAATAAGAATAGGGGGCTTTACTCATTTAGTTAAAAACATGAAGTCGTTACACAGGAACAATGCTTTCGTCTTCGTAAGTACTACAGCAGCAGCTAGTACGTGTCAAGATCCGCTCTTTAATCTGCTAATAATCGGGCTGGCATTCGATTTAAGATCAACTACGTTTATCATCACGTTTACTCGACTCTGGGACAGCATCGAGCTAGCTATCCTTGACTCTTGCGCGACAGCACACTCACAGGCATGACAGCGCAAAATTCTGCTACTGCATAATGCACACCAGCAAAGATGTGATCGACATAGCTGGCATCTACCGAGCAGCTAAAAATTCAGCTTGTGGCATCGGTTATTTTTGGCAGCGACCATAAGTAACTCACATCACTGCGACGTTGGGGCAGACTGTAAACCTAAACTAGCATGTGGTCCAGTAACATTTTGACAAAAACGACACTAACGCTATTTTTTACAACGATCAGCGTTCGCAATATATATTTATCCGTTTTTTCTGCCGCAAAACATGTAAAACACACTGATTAATTATTTATCAAACACAGGTGGAAATCATGATCAATATTTGCGTATTAAACGTGTACAACAGATACGCAGTTGTTTTGCTCACGAGTACAAACAACTTGAAACTCGAAACAGCGATCAAAAGCATTCTCGGTGGGCAAATACGTGCCTTCGATGTTCTGGCATGTCCGACTAATTCAAATCATCTTGGTACTTGCCCCACTTACACTGAAGTAGCTTCGTGACCTTTGTTAGAAATTGGTGGTCTAGTAATTGCACCAGGGACACGAGGGAATGAAGGCTTATATAGTTATACCCTTGAGGTAATCCTCAACGCAGTGTGGGCATCAAAGCCATAACTTCAATGCATATTATATATATAATACACACGTGTGATAACAATGCAAGTTTTCTCTATTTCAAAGTAGCACTGTCAGCAAGAAATCTTAATATACACTGTACACCTTTTCAAGCTGCATGGCAGTACATGCATCCGTTTGGTATGGCATTATTAAGATTTGGCTGTACCATGCTACAGACGTATCAGGGAAAAAATAACATTTATTTTTCGGGGTCTACTTTTCAAGCTCGTGTGCATGAAAATAGCACTCTAAATTATGTTTGCATTGAACTGCTATGCTTTACGGGGGCTCTTTTTGGCATTCGCGGGGCTCTTTTGGCATTTCGGCGGGCGCTAAATCGCCCCGAGCCGCCGGTGTATTTTTTATCAGAAAACCTGATATATTCAAACTAACATAGAGAAACAAACTTTCCTCAGAAACAAACATCTAAGCCAAGGGCTCTTAATTATAACCAGTGGTCCATGAACCCCTTTGGTGTCCATGGATGGGCTTCAGGGTGTCTGTGAACGCCATTGTTAGCAAAATTTGTGTTTATGTGCTTATGTGCAATTTTCTGGGGCGGGGTCCGTAGCTTTCACCAGATTCTCAAAGCAAAGGGGTCCATGACTCAAAAAAGGTTAAGAACCACTGATCTAAGCCATACATCTGTATTTCCATAATTGTTATTAATTGCTGTTTAAGAAGTCACGTTGTGAAATTACCTTCAACGTAAGATACTTTATGCTGTCAAAACTATGCTTACCATTACATTTAATAAGGTATTTTGACTACTTAGAACTTAGATTGCAATGTGGAACTTTAAGTAAGGTGATATCAATTATGTGAGTGCCAAAGCTTTTCGTATTTATATAATTCAATTTCCCACGTTCGATCTATTTATTTTACTATATGAAATAATATTATTGCAAACATGAAAAGCTCATTGACCAAGGCACACGCAATTATTACCAACTATGGAGTTATGCAGTGCCTAGCTTGGCTTGGTACAGCCTATAAGATCAATACTATTAGAACAACTGGTCCAGCTAAAAGCTGCTGCCACTAGCATAATTGCACTCTAGCCACCTTATAATATATCACCTATAATCACTGAGGCATATATATTAGACCTACTATTAGCTATGTGGTTCATCAACTTTTTAAAAGAGAATAAAAAAATGACTAGTACTTATTGTAATTAATAACAGTTAAATCCCTATTCGATTACCAAACAATATGTTATTTTTTAATAGCAGGAAAATGATCAATTACAAAACATTTGAAAACAGGTTTTTGTTTTTGTGAAACTTGTGGCGAGTAAGGTCCTACTTTTGTTTTGAGCAGAAGCAATGCATATATAAAAGCAGTCGTCAGCCAGACATGCTATGTGTGATCACTGATAGCATGCATCTGTGATCATAGCCATATAAGTGCATTCATGACGAATGTTCTTCATAGTCTAAGACACTGTAATGAAGAAGCATCGATCATAAAAATCTTTATTGATCAAGTTAACAGATCAATATTGCAGATTGCGAGAAAAAGTTTCCAATTTGTTAATAACCTCATAGAATGTACGAGGATTCCAGTAGGGGGTGACAGGTGAGTATATGTTAGCATTCATTTTGATAAGGCCTCCCAGGTCATTTTGATATACTTTAGGACAATGATGGGCATTGGCATTAGGATTAGATTATGGTCATGGCTATGGTCATGATGTACATACCAGTGGCGGATCTAGAGGGGGGTTGGGGGCTGCACCCCCCCCCCCCAGTAAAGGCACTAACAAATGTTATCAGGAGTGAATAATAATAGATTAATATAGATAATCTATTATTATTCACTCCTGATGTTATGACACTAGTAAAATGGGGCCACCCTAGCACCGCTTGCCTTCGGCACGCCTTCACTCAAATATCAACCCCACGTCTCATGAAAGCTAGATTCGGCCGTGCATGTACAGCAGCCCTGAAGTCAGCTGACTTCATCCAAACTTCAATGAATCTCAATTTTACTAGAAGTCAGATTTACACAAATCATCATTGATCATCACAACACAAACCCTATACTTTTATTTCTACCAACTCCTGACTGCCTTCATCATAATGAAGATTATGTCAGAGGCTCTCAAGTATTAATTTATGAAATTGAGGTTGGTCACATTTGATGTTTTACATCTTTGGAGGCTTTTTTGTGTCTCCAGTACCAGACACAAGCTTAGTTTACAGGATTTCTTGAGCTACGACTACGAGGGATTCACACCAACAGTCACACCTTGACAGACTATCTAGATTCTAGAGTAGAGGATAGACGAAATTCACTGACCTGGCTGCATGTGTTTGAGCTAAAAGCCATCGGCATTCCAACAGATGTCCAAGTTAAATTCACCCACGCTAGGTACCACACAGGCACACCGACACTACGAAATAACTTCTTTTTTTACTAATACTAATAGTAATAGTAATACTAATAGGCCTACTAATAGTAATACTAATAATATTAATTATTTCTTCAGGCTCAGATTTTCTTAGAGGGCTTCGATCTCCACGGAAATATGATCAAGCTATATGTGCAAATAAATTACGTTATTTAACGTGCACACTGTAGGAATGCACAATAACCACTTAATTACTCTCCCACTAGTTATAAAATACAAAGTCGAAACTTACCATTCGGCTATACCGTTTCCTAGGATCAATCCACGTCGTGGTTTTGTCGTTGTGATTCACGTAAAAAGGCCACGCTGTTTTCTTATCGTATAACATTTCCCAACCGGGCGGCAATGGTTCGTTCTTGTATTCGTCCGGTAACATACTATGGAATGCCATCTCGACTGCTACTTTTATACTTTTATATGATTAATCCCGTGCTAAGTATCACAATATTCTAGACGGCTCGAGACTTCTCAAGATCCTTCTGGTACACTTCCATGACGAGCTTATCAGGAGTCATCTGATTGGATAAATTTTGCAACGACGACGAATCGATAAGGTCGTAACAAACTTCCCAGCAGAGCCACCTGGTGGGAATGCTCACATATTTAGGAAGACATGACCCAAGACAGGAAGGAAGGGTGTGATTCTTTAGTTTTAGACGGTTATAATAACGTATAATGTGTAAGGATGTGTTGTTACACATCGCTAGAAGCCTTATTGTCAAATTATTGCTGTATACGATAGACAGTTAGGTTTAAATTTCATAGTATGCACCCGCTTGCTAGGGCAACTAGTTGGGCGCCACACCACACGCGTTACTTTGTAATAATATTTGTAAATATAAATAACAACATTGTTGCTGTACACACTCACTATCACAGACACTTGGAACGTCTCAATAAAAAAAAATGTAAACACGAAATGTATTTACTAGTACTAGCAAAGTCTTAATGTTTCTCTATTCTATTTCGCCTATCTCTATAGGCTAAATTATTGGCATTGCCGATAATTACCCGTAAATGCCGGTCAAATGCTCATCTGCAATACACAAGTACACCGCACGCCCACCCTGTGCACAAACAACATGAATAAGAGAGCAGGTAGGAAAGCATGATCGCAAAATTTGCTCGACGCTCGTTTCATTTCACACGACTACAGAACAGAAACACAACAAACGGCCTCCATTTTGGTATCTATCTGTAGCTAAATGTTCACTTGTTCGAATTATAACTCTGTCCTTTGTTCTTACATACTCCCGCCAGAGATATCTTGTGAAATCCTGCAGGAAATGTTCTCTCCGTGAAAATGTAAAGAGGACGAGATGTCTGTTTATACACGAGTAATGGGGCGCATTGCATGCCGGGATGAGCTGCTGCCTGCCAAGCCAAGCACAATGCGCGCGGGCACGACGTCACACACACACGACTACAGTGATCGATCGAAAGTAGCGCCGTTAGGGATTTTGAGATGATACGTCCTCTACATTTTCACGGAGAGAACATTTCTTGCAGGATTTCACGAGATATCTCTGGCGGGAGTAGGTAAGAACAAAGGACAGAGTTATAATTCGAACAAGTGAACATTTAGCTACAGATAGATACCAAGATGGAGGCTGTTTGTTGTGTTTCTGTTCTGTAGTCGTGTGAAATGAAGCGAGCGTCGAGCGAATTTTGCGATCACACTTTCCTACCTGCTCTCTTATTCATGTTGTTTGTGCACAGGGTGGGCATGCGGTGTACCTGTGTGTTGCAGATGAGCATTTGACCGGCATTTACGGGTAATTATCGGCAATAATAGGTGAAATAGAGTAGAAAAACTTTAAGACTCTGGTAGTTAAATACATTTCGTGTTTATTTACCTTTTTTTTTTAATTGAGATGTTCCAAGTGCCTGTGGTCACTATTACTGCCAATAAGCAATATCCACATGGTGTTAGGTTGTTGCAAACGCTCATATAGGATTAGGAATGCAACACTTAATTATATGTAATGCATAATAAATATACATCTAATGATCTATCTATTTTCAGTTGTCCTGGAACTGTTCGAAGTTTTAAGTGTGTGGTAGTTGCTCGGCATACATGTGTTTTTATGGGGTTAACCGTTAGCGTTAAGTATTTGGATGAATATAAGAAACATAAGTCAAATCCGTCAGTGCATTTTGTGAAGTTTGGTTTCACTGTAGGATGAGGTGAGCTCTCTGACACGTTTATTGGGAGACACATCTGTATCATGAATATAATTGGCAGTAATAAGGAGTAATTAAGTGTTGCAGTACTTCGTTTCGCCGTATGCGGTTTCGAAACTGTAAACAAGTCAGTCAACTGATTTCTTGGACTGCGGATTTCAATTAGACATTTCTTAGTAACCAGCAGTGATATTGGACAAACCAATACGCGTTTGGCTATAAGGTAATGTACTAATTAACTACACAAGGTGCCAGTTACTGTAGCATTCGTCAACTTTGCATAATCAATGGGCCTATTATTCCTTTAATCATCCGCAAAAATTTCTTTGTGGCAGACGAACTATCGCCACGAGATCGGAGCAACCATTCCTTGAAACAGTACAGACGCGCGCTCTGCTCTCTGAATGCGGGGCCGTGATGTTCGCCTATCCTTGCGGCATCTGAGCTGCATAGCAGGCTGGCACGCAGGCGGAACGTAAGGATGGTGCTGCACGAGCTCCGCGACCAGTCTCTGCTGGTGCAAGCTGTCTTCCGCGGCGATGTCAGTGAGGTCAGGGGCCTTCTCTACAAGAAAGAGGATGTCAACGGCCAGGTGTGTAGCCCAGCGGCGGGAAACAAACGTCACGTGGCATCGTCAGATACAGTGGCGGTGCTATTCGATTTTACTTTTAGTTATGAACAGTAGGTTTTAAGGATGCGTTTTAGGCCTTTTTGTGGAATTGGCTTAAATAATGAAACGAATTGCTTAAATTATTTATAGAAATTAAAAAAACATTATAGAATTTTAGTAGGGAAGGGTCTGAAAAAGAAGTGGGTATGATTGCCTACCCCATCATTACATAGAAAAAAAACATATTTAACACAATAATATATAGAAAGAATATCGCCCTATAGCACAGGTAATCACAAGGAGGGAACTGCCAGCATACATGTAGTAACATGCGTGTTACTGTAACAACCTAGTAACAACTGCTTGAAATAATGTATTTCTACAAATCTTTAGTTTTTATTGAATTCGTACTTAAAGGACAATTGAAGTCAAATTTTTCTCACTTCTGTAACGTTTTTATACATAGAAATACATTCAATAACGTATTCCATTTCAAATCCGGCACCCAATTAGTAATAAACACCTGAATAGTAATCTAGGTCATGTGACGTCACGGCTCCAAGTTGAGCGACGCCATTATGTAAACATCGTGCGTGCGGTGGTTAAATATTCGATGTTTTTTGTTATTTCTCATGCTTATTTATCATGTCAAGACACAAATATGTAGCCTGTAAATGTACTTATATTTATGTGCATACATATTACATGTGTGGATAATGCATTCACGGTATATGTACATGACTTGCATAGATACATGTACAGATACATGTGATTCTGACCGAGTGTGATAAGCCCGGTGATCAGTGTACTCGCATGACTCATCTGGTCTAGCGTCAAACTGGTCTACAATAACCCTGGTCTTCTCATTCTCATGGCAGCATATACATTCAGGTGCCGTACTCATTAATTCACAAACACCACAAGAACACCAGTAACTATAAATTTATGTGCCACATTTAAAGGACAATTGAAGTCAAATTTTCCAACTTCTGTAACGTTTTTATACATACAGGTATAGAAATACATTCCATAACGTATTCCATTTCAAATCCAATTAGTAATAAACACCTGAATAGTAATCTAGGACGTGACATCACGACCCCAAGTTGAGGCGCCACCACCCTAACGTAAGTTGAGTGTTGTGTATAGGATGGAACCAGAAAGCGATAATTTCAATGATTCTAGTGATTACTCAGATGATGATGTTATTTATAGTGATTTACAGTTGGATATAGGTTTGAGCCTGAATATCCACAAGAAGAATTGGGAGAATTGTCTGAAAAAGCAATGCAGAGTCGGCACAAACATCTCAAGAATCAGAACAGTCACAACATGGCGGAATGGAAGCTTCGGTACCCGAAAGGACTGTAGACAAAT